AAGATTGGATGCTGTGGCTCACGCCTGTAATCCCAGCACTTTGGGAGGTTGAGGCGGGTGGATCACCTGAGGTCAGGAGTTTGAGACCAGCCTGGCCTGGCCTACATGGTGAAACCGCATCTGTACTAAAAATGCAAAAATTAGATGGGCATGTTGGTGGGCGCCTGTAATCCCAGCTACTTGGGAGGCTGAGGCAGGAGAATTGCTTGAACCCGGGAGGCAGAGGTTGCTGTGAGCTGAGGTTGCACCATTGCACTCCAGCCTGGGTGACAGATCTGGGCCACAGAGCCTGACTCTGTCTCAAAAAAAACCAATTATTTTTAATAAGTCATATATATTGATTCGAAATTCAGAAAGTGTAACGTAATGCAGTGAAAAGTAACTCTGGCAGCCCCCATCCCCAACCACCTAGTTCCCCTCTGTAGGGCAGTCATCGTTACCTTTTTCTTACATGTACATACCTAGATGTTCTAGCATTTACTTTAACCAGTTTTCAGTTGATGGATGTTTAGGCTATTTTTACTCTTGTGGTATTAGAAACAGTGCAGCAGTGAATACACTTGTACATCCATTGTTTTGTACATGTGCAAGTGAATCTGTAGAATCAAGTTCTCCAAGTTAAATTGCTTTGCCAAAGGATATGTGCGTTTTTTTTTGTTTCCGTTGCTAAGACTCATACGTTTTTTAAAAGGATATTTTAACTTAGACAGTTATTGCCAAATTGCTCTCTATAGAAGTTGTACCAATTTATACTTTCACTAGTATTGTGTGAATGTGCCTCTTTCCTCCCACTTTTACCGTTACCATACTTTTTGGCCTTTTCCAATTTGTAAAGTATACTTACTGTATTTTTCTTATCGTAAGTGAAGTTGAACATATTATAGTGTTTTGGAAGCTATTTGTATTTCCCATACTGGGGTGTGTATGTTAATATTCTTAGCCCTTTTTTCTCTTGGGTTATTTTTTTTTCTCTTGGGTTACTAGTTTTTCTTACTAGGCAGATAGTATTGTTATGCAGTGCAGCTCATTAACCTGTGGTCCCCAACTCTTTTGGCACCAGGGACTGGTTTCACGGAAGTCAGTTTTTCCACCAATGGGCGTTGTAGGGCAGTATGGTTTCAGGATGATTCAAGTGCATTACATTATTGTGCATTTTATTTCAGTTTTATTACATTGTAATATATAATGAAATAATTATACAGCTCACTGTAATACAGAATCAGTGGGAGCCCTGAGCTTGTTTTCTTGCAACTAGGTGGTCCCATATGGGGGTGACAGATCATCAGGCTTTAGATTCTCATAGGGAGCACACAACCTAGATCCCTCCAATGTGCAGTTCACAATAGTGTTCAAGCTCCTATGAGAATCTAATGCTGTGCCTGATCCAAAAGAAGGTGGAGCTCAGGCAGTAATGTAGGCAATGGGGAGTGGTTGTAAATATAGAAGAAACTTTGTGAGCTCATGTCCTGCTGTGCTGCCTGGATCCTAACAGGCCACCAACTGGTACCAGCCTGGGGGTTGGGGACCCCCTGCATTAAGCCTTT